CAAGGATGATGTGGGAGACAGTGTCGAAAGCCTTGCCAAAGTCAAAGTAGACAACGTCCACTGCCCTCCCCTCATCCACCCATCCAGTCACATCATCATAGAAGGCTATCAGACTAGTCAGACACGACTTCCCCTTAGTGAATCCATGTTGACTACTTCTGATAACCTTCTTTTCATCCAGGTGCTTTCAGATGGTAACCAGCATAAGCTGTTCCATCATCTTTCCAGGGATGGAGGTAAGGTTGACCAGTCTGTAGTTTCCTGGGTCATCCTTCTTGCCCTTTTTGAAGACTGGAGTGACACTGGCTTTCCTCCAGTCCTCAGGCACCTCACCTGTCCTCCAGGACCTTTCAAAGATGATGGAGAGTGGTCCAGCAATGACTTCCCCCAGCTCCCTCAGCACCCGAGGGTGCCTCCCATCAGGCCCCATGGACTTTCGTGGTGCTGAGGTGGGAGGTTTTCTGTTGGATGTAAATGGCTTTTGTTAACAGAGTTCTTTCCTCCTCTCATGGATTTTTTAGCCATATAGGCTGAGACAAATTTTCTAACTCCCAATATGACTTAAGAGCAACGAATGAAACTTGGCCATAGCCAGGGTGAATCAGCCAAGAGCAGAAGAAAAATGCGCCAGGCAGGAAATGCAGTCCGTGAGCTGAGCCTGGCTGTGCCTCACTGGGCTGGGCCAGTACAGCTGCCCCCAGGGCCGCTCTCTCTGGTAGGACAGAAGCCTCCAGCAGGGCCTTAGTCTGGTGGCCTGGGAATTATGTGAAAGAGCAGAGGGCAGGAAGAGCTAGGGAATTTGCCTTGTTAGCATTCTGACTGAAAGCTGAAGTCTGCTGCATTTTAGAGGGAGGCCTCTCTACTCTACAGGTCCCTTTGGGAAGTTTCATTCCATGTACCTGCAAAGGGCTTAAGTCCAGGGTGCTCTATAATGTCTCCTGAGATGCATCAATGAGAGGTGCACACACTCTTGCTCTCAGTACCCATGAACATATGTGCATTCATAGGTCCTTTTAATGTGACCATGGCCTCTAGTTCCATCTGATCTCTGTGCCTCACCGGGTCACTGACTCTCACCTCTGGTCTTTCCAGACCAGGTAGGTGGTCTTCTACTCAGCCAGTGACACCTCTAGCCAAGGCCCCATCACCTGCTAGCGCCTCCAGGTGC